GGGTGCCCACAGCTGGCGCACTTCCCCTATTTATAAAAATAATTTAATAAAATCAAATTAGTTTTTGAAATTAAAAGTTTATTTTTTCACTTTAAAATCGGGAGTGTTATTTTTCTTGCAAAACTAATTTTAAAAGTGTTTTTCTTCGTACCACACATCAAAATGTACATTTACCAAATATATTCTATGTATTTTCTAAATTATATAAAATGCAATAATAATAGTTTAAATTTTAAACGACTTGTCACCTCCCCATACTCTATATAGAAAGGAATTACCTTCAATGTGCTCTTCAGGAGGTATATCTTCTTCATTATCAATAGAAAAATCGACTGCTTCGAATGGAGGGAAATCGTCTTCGTCATCTGAAACAACAACTTTCAAACTGAGAACTGCACAAATCTTAATTGTTTCTTCGAAAATGAAATATATTACCATCATCATCATCATCATTAGAAAAGTCCATTCCTTTAATTAATTAAAGGTCTTCTTCTTCTAAAAGAATAGTTTCATTTAATTGGAAGGAGATACACAAAATGAAGGGTTTTACACCATTGTGTACTGCAATTGACATTAAATCTTCAACTAAAAGATCTTCTCTTTCTTCTAATTTTTTCCAATTTTCTGTGATCCCTTTTTATTTCTCCACATTCTTGATTTTCGGAAGTTGCAAATCACCTTTAATATTTTCCCTTAATTTTTCGACTTGTTCTTAAATTGTTTCCTGCACTTTCATCAGTTTCTCTGCAAATTATAATAGATCGTGTAAGCAAAAGTTATTATTAATTTTATTAAACATGTTTTAGTGAACAAAGAGAACGAGTAAAAAGATTTGATTAAATCCCTTCTGTTTAATGTAGTTCCAGCAATATGCATTTTATTTAATTCATTCTAAGCTTTTCTTATGAATTTAAAGATTCAAGTTTAAATATTTAAAGCATTTTTATTTGTATATTACCTTACAATTTATTTAAAACATATTTTAAATAAAGTTAAAAAACTTAGATCAATAAACAAATTTATGAAAAGTAAATTAAAAGAATGAGATTTCAAAAAAAAATTTTAATTCATTACCATCAGCGCTCGAACCAGTGAAAGTATTATTAAAAAATACGGACATTACTGACCAAAACTGAAAAATTACGGACCAATTACTGACAAAAATATAACTAGTCTGGGTTAAATAAAAAAACCTTTTTATTTACAAGAATTTTTAACAAAAATTCTTCTTTAAATTGATTATTTTTAATAATTTTCGAAAAAGTTCTTTGTCAACCAGATAGCACAAAAGATTCTAAAAACCTTCCTGTAATATTCCTCTGGCATATTCGGAACCTTTCAAAAAATATTTATGAGGAATATTTTATTAACACACCTGAATAATTTAATAAAATTAAATTAGAGTGAAAGCTAAGCTAAATTGGATAAAATATCTGATCAGAAGAATTAAAGAGTTTTTAACATCTTTCGACTAATACCTGAATAATATTCATGAAATATTACAAACCTATGTTTAAGGAATATTCACTATCAATACTTACAAATTTGTTAATATAACTTATAGGTCACCTTGAGTGGACCGCTTAGCTTTTTTTCGAAAAAATTCTTTATGAAATCAAATTAATAGGAGGTTTCTATTCCAAGCTTCAGTTTAGATCCCTAGATAAGTATTTATACCATAATATCTTTGATTTTTTTTATTTGGAAAAAATTGACTTTAAAAAAAGCTAATTTTCTGGAATGAAAAAAGTGTAACCTTGAGTGGACCACTCCTAAAAAATTGCAAAAGTTATTCTAAATTCCTTAATGTATTTAGTATTTCTGATATATTAAAACAAAATTTATGCTTACGCAGCTTCAGACCATGATTGTATGTGTCGTAATGTTTGCAAGTGAAAACATTTTTAATAATTTTGGCACATATCACAAAAAAATTAATAAAGACCATAAAAAAAAGTTTCAAACCAATTTATTGTCAATTTATATCCAAAAAATGGTAAACTGACATTAAAAATGGAAAAAACAGGCAGTCCACTCATGGTTACAAACAGTGGTCCACTCATGGTGACATGCAACTTTTTATGGCAGCCACCACAATTTTTTTTGAGTCAAAATTATTACTTAATTAAACTAAAACAATTAATTTCAATGTTCCTTTTAAAACTTAAATTTTACATTACGTTTACACTTTTGAATCACTTTTCTTATTGTAAGAGCGACTTTTTTTTGGATTGTGATCTTAAAAACGCGTTACTTGGGAGTTTTTTTGACAGTGATTCATAATTATTATAATAGTTGATTAAATGTTTTGTAATAATCTGAGGCTTTTACTCTTATTACTTTGTAATTTGTAATTGAAAAATTATAATTAAGTAAAATGATTAATTAAAAATTACAATATTTTTTTGTTTTAAATTAGAATTAATATAAATTATTATTTTTAATAATTGAGGGCGTGGAACGGATAACTGCCTGTAACGAATGGTCGAAAGGGCCTATACCAGTCAGACACTAGTGAGCGCCTCTAGGCCTCTCACTGATGTCTGACTGGTATAGTCCCTTTCGACCATGCGTTACAGGCAGTTATCCGTTCCACGCCCTCAATTGCTTACGAATTTTTGAAAAGTTATTTTTTGAATTTTCTCTAATTTATATAAAACCGATAATTATCATGATATTTGATTTAATAAATTATATTTTATAGTCCAGAAAAACTTTCAATAAATGTTTAATGAATTTATCTCTTTAACGCTCGCTAAAGGTTATATCAACAGATTGTTTAAGTATTCATTGTGAATTCTCTCTAAATATAGGTTTTTAATATACCCTTAATATTTTTCAGGTTTGCTAATAAAATATTCCTCATGAATATTCCTTGAACTGACCTAGGGAATATTCTATATTCGCGGACATTTACCTACTTCCATGAACCTTCCTGGATTATTTTTTGGGAGGTTCCGAATTTGCCAAAGGAATATTCTAGGAAGGTTCTTGGAATCTTTTGTGCAGTCTGGGCAATTTTCAAAATCCATTTGTTTACAATATTCAATTTTACGAAATTTCAATTACATTTCTCAATTAAATAAATATTAGAAAATAAAAATTTTAAATAATTGCAAAAAAATTCAATTAAGCTTTTTCATATAAATTAATCTTAAAATTAAATTATTTTTAAAAATTCACGCCATATTCACGGAGAGAAATCTGTTGCTATTATTGCTTGCAGAATCTTTACAAATTTTATTAGTCACTGCTGAATAGAATTTTAGCTTGAGGTTATAATAATTTATATACGAAATCATCTATTTAATGGAATGGAGAGTTCGATGCAATAAAAACAAAAAGCAGCTGCTAATTTTGCACGAAATCTTTATTATAAATATAAAGAGAACGTGCTATAAAAGTATTAGATTCTTCTTATAAGAATCGCTCGAACTCCGTCTGATTTTCAGGCGGACTTTATACAACACAATCTTACCTGCGTATACGCACATATAACTCACACACACATATATTTCTCTGGATGGTTTCGAGGAACGGAACGCGTACAAAGCGGTGACGTTTGCAATAACATAACCTAACAATTTTCACATGTTGCTTATATATTCAAACACGAATAAAAATGCAATAATTTTTAAATAATATACTTACTATTAAATAAATATTATCTTTTTATAACAGCAACAAGTATTAAATACTACATATAATATATAATAATGTTTTACAGGACAAAGAAATATCAAATATAGAGAGAGAGAGAGAGAGAGAGAGAGAAAAATATATGTGTGTGTGAGTTATATGTGCGTATACACATGTAAGATTGTGCTGTATAAAGTCCGCCTGAAAATCAGTCGGAGTTCGAGCGATTCTTATAAGAAGAATCTAATACTTTTATAGCACGTTCTCTTTGTATTTATAATAAAGATTTCGTGCAAAATTAGCTACTGTCTCTTATGCTTATTGCATTGAAAGTATTTTTACAATAAGTATATGAATCGATGCTAAAAATATAAGAGAAACGTTAAGCAATTTAAGTAATGTGCTCTTTCGAGTAATATTAGCAGCAGATTTCTCTCCGTGTTGCTTTTAATATTTAATTATTATCTAAAATTTTAACTAAAATTAATTTTTAAATAAATTTTTATTAGAAACTTCTACTAGAATTCAATTATTTAAATACAAAAATAAATAATTTATTGAGTAATTGAATGTTTCTTAAAATTCAATTCCCATTATGAATCGTTATCAACAAATTTTCAAATAATTGAATTCCAACAACGTATTTTAATAAAATTTGTAAGAATAATAGACCTTTTCATTTCAATTCATTTCTATTGCGCATGCGTTACATGGAATTGAAGTTCCGTTTCAAGTTTCGGATCTATTTACAGCTATTGCATTATTCAGATGTTAAATGTTAATAGTAACTATAGAAAATTTGATTTAATATTTTATTTAATTTATTAATTTAACATTAAATAATACCAATATAAGCTGCCAAATTTATAGAAATTTTGTTTTTGGAATTGTTACAAATTAGCAATAATAAATTGTTACGCTCGGCGGGATAATATGGTTAATGCAACCAAAGGTATGAATGTGACAACCATTGTTTTTTTCCGTGCGAGCAATGTTCAGACAACATTAACTCAACATTGATTAAGTCCGCCCTGTGGAAACATTGCATAAGTACTATAATGTTATAATATAATTTTCATAAAATAATCAATGTTGAGGCAATGTTGACAATATTGCCATGGAACATTGACCTCGAATACTACAAGTAGTGTTACAGTAATATTAAGTGTTACTTATGTGAAAAAATATTTCAAATTATTACTGAAAGCCTTTTAGAAGTTTTCTGTATAAAACAATAAAATGAATAAAAAATATTTCGGTGTGAATATCAAAATTTTTATATAAAATACAACTTTTACTGATCATTTTCAAGTTTATTCCCATGCGCAGAGGTTACTGATTTCATTGAGGTTAGTGTTTAAGTTTCCGACTTTAACTCAAAGTTAAAAAGATTTGTATAATAAGAAGTTTTAAATATACTAATTATTTTAAAATTATAGTTATAGTCAAAGTACAGATAAAATGTACTAAAAATCTAAATAAATGTTTCTTTTAATTGATTTTTACAAGTATTTTTTATAAAATATTGATTTGACTGAAACCAAGCGCCAAGTTGTCATCCCCTCTTCGCTACAATCCTTGAATCCCGGGACGGAATCAATATGAACTGCACGCGACGAAGTGCTTTAACAAACACGTTTTCACTTAAAATATAGAAAGAAATTCTCCAGTAAATCGCAAGTGTCTGTTACAGGATGAATCGATTGATAAAACAGTACAAATAAAGAGATTATCGAAATCTAACTGGTTTTATTTAATTTTTAAATCTACCGGTTATGTCTACTGTAGACATCTCACCAAGATTCTGCTGCTAATGTAATTCATACCTATAAAAGAGAAAAGTAATGGAGATTAAAAGACAGAGTTTCTCCTGAAAAACTGCACAATTTTGGATTATAAAAAACAACTTAAGTTAAGTGTAATATAAATAATGTTTGTGTCCATTTATCAGAGGAATGCAACACCTCTGAGGGTGTCGCGAAAGACGTGAGGACATCATTGATCGTTAAGTTACAAATGTATAAAATGTTATTAATACTCATTTATATTCTTGTAACTGTACTACCAACTAAGGGAACGTTAATATCTTTTGATGATGAAGAAAATGTTTTGCATATTGGAGCAATCTTTCCTATTGCTGGAGAAGGTGGTTGGCAAGGAGGACAGGTAACTGTTTTCCTTTAATAGCAATTTCTATTTTTTCATATTCATAATATATAATGAAAATTTATAATAATCATTTGACAAATAATTAGTGTTCTTTGTTCTCTATTTTCATGAAATTTGTAAAAGGAACTTTAATTTCATAAGGTATATCACATTAGAAACATGTGTACTTCATAAAAAGTTTCACAAAAAATAAACATTTTTTATAACTAAAAAAATATTTTCGTAAGCTAAACGTAAGAAATTATATAAGATAAAAAAATAAATGTTGTTATTAGATATACATTTTACAATTTTTTACAGTTTCTATAGTCTTAAATAATACTATTTGTTTAGGAATATTTAAATTATGAAATGTTTAATATTTAAAATTAAAATATAAAAAGGTAGACATAATATAAAACAAACTTCTTAAAATGTTATATTGTAGAAATTAAAAATATTTATTTATAAATAATTCGTATTTAATAAAATATTACATTTTGAAAGTTGGCAATTTATTTACTTTATTTAATTAGAGGGAGTCAATAAAATAAATTAATAAAAAACACACTTTTCTAGGATTTTATTACATTAAAATAGTCAAATTACAATTTCAATTATTCATAAATAAATAGTTTAAATCTTTAATATTATATTAGGTTATGTTTAGTAACATCAGTCAGAGAGGACATTTTGTTTCTTAGTTTTTCAAAAACTGTAAATAAAAACGAAGGAATAAAGAAGCTTGTAAATATCAATGTATTACTTTTTAATGTACTGAGTAAAAATAATGTTTTCGACATACATTATAATGTGTATAAATTTATTAAATATAAGTAAAAAGTATAAGGGCAAATATACAGAACTGGACTTTCACTTGTGAAAATGTAAATTTTAAAATTGTATGCACAACTTGTATTTACAGTTTATTTTTTTCAAAATTTATTCCAAAACAATTATCTTTAATGTCGTTCAAGTCAGAAGCCAAAAACGAAAATATTAGCTTTTCTTCATAAAATATAATCAAGAATGTGTATTTCTTTCTTCTTTTGTTTTTTTCTCTATATATTTCTGTAATATGTGCAAAAGATTTTGCATTATAAAATGTTATTAATTATAATTATTTACATAACGACAATCAATATTAATTTATTTATAATTAATAAATAATTTCATTTTGTCATGTAATTTAAATTATTTCAACCATGGAACGAATATTACGTATATTAATTTTGACACAAGTTAAAAAAATCAAAGATTGTCTCTGGTAAATTAAAGAAATGAGAGTTTATAAAAATTTAACAGTTTGTACTTTATTTATTTATTCAAAAATAAGTTCCTAGGGCTAATAAGCCCACTGAGAAACAAGATACATAAGTATTTGATTATAAAACTATATTTAATTTACATTAATTTTCTTTAGATTATTTTAGAAACATGATTTTATTCAGAATTTTTTACCACGTAGTTTTTGCTTAAAAAAATAAAATAAATTTGCAATTTAACATAGGCTTTTATAAGAGCTGAGATAAATCTTAGAAAAAAGTGTGAAGGAAATGAGAGAAAAATTTGTGACTTTATGTATAGATAGACAATGTCAAAAAGTTAAAACTGGAAGCCCTGGTTAAAAAACCGGACAGATTTCGGACTAATCCGAAATTTGTCGGAGACAGTGCGGTTTATGGTCAGGTTTTTGTCACCCGAAATTAATCCGGATAAATCCGAACTCTATAAGGTTTGTGAACAACTAGTGAATCCGGAGTTGGTCCGATGAAGTCCGGAATTAATCACTTCATTTTAACTAGTGAATCCGGAATTTATCCGAAACAGTGCGATTTATTGTCTGGTTTTTGTCATCCGGAATTAGTCTGGATAAATCTGAAATCAATACGGTTCGTCTATAACCAGTGAATCGGGAATTATTTCGATCTAGTCCGAAGTTAGTCTGATAATACGCAACTTGCAAATGTGAAATTAGTCCGATTAAGTCCGGAATCAATCTGGTTATGGTCAGGTTTTTGTCATACGAAATTATAATTATAGTTTGAATTTATCTGAATTTAATACAAATTGTTTTTAATATACAAATTCAATATTATACCAAAATCATTCCGGATTAAGTCTTTGAATTGGATTGCATATGGATTGTTTTGGACTGTCTGTGGATTGTAAATATTTACAAATTTCATATTATTATAACACTTATTTTCGGACTGGGGTGTTTTGATCGGATATTATTCGGATTGCTGATGACTATTACCGGATTCTTTGGATACAGATTTTGGATTGTTCAATACTGTTTTCGGATTAAATCTTTTAACTGGATTAAATTCGGATTATGGCGGACTGATTTCGTATTCTTTACATATTGATTTCGGATTATTCCGTATTTATTTTAGATGCATTTTTTAACGGACATAATTTCGGATTGTTGCGGAATAATTACGGACTTAATTCATAGACATTCAAGATTACTCCAGACTGATTTAGGATTAGGATTCATAATTTCGCTCGGATTTAATCCAGATTAGTCTGACATTTTTACCAGGTATATAATTTGATTCGGGTGACCGACTATTTCCGGATTCTTAGCATATGTATTTCAGATTGTTTCGTATTTGTTTTGGAATAGGATTTTACCACACTAATTCTAAATTTAAGAGGACTAATGTCGGATTCTTTGCTTACAGATTTCGGACTATTTCGTATTTGTTTCGGATTATGCCTTTTAATTTTATTAAATCAGCATTGTTGCAGACAATTTTCGGATTCTTAGCATACAGATTTCGGATTATGTCTTTCAATTGGATTAAATCCCAATTGTTGCAGACAATTTTCGGATTCCTTGCAAACAGCTTTCGGATTGTTTCGTACTAGTTTGGGAATAGGATTTTGCTTACAGAGTTCGGATAACTCCGGAGTGTTTTCGGATTTAGGTCTTCATTCGGACTGATATCAGACTAACGCTGATCATTTTTGTACAATTTTCGAACTAATCAGTACTAATTTGCCCGTATTTAATTCGGAATTAGTCCAAAAACCAGGGAGAGTTTAGAGAAAGTTTACCAAATATTTAATGAATAAATAATTATTTTAATTTTAGTTTTCAGAACAGTAATATATCAAACACAAAAACACATGAAAATGTGGCAACATCGCAACAACACATAACCTCAAAAAAATACAAATTTGATCTGTACACTTGAAATTAACAATATTCCTTAAGCATATGTTAATAATTTTTATGTTTCTTTTGTATCATAATTATATTTTATACTTGTTTATCATAATTTTCGTATTCTCAGTAAAAAATTTTATGTTAACATCTGACAATACACTAATATACCAGTCGTACCAACCATATGTCGAGTATGTATTGTCATGATTTCTAGCACTTTTTCAGAAAATTAACTAAATACATTTTTAATATATGTGACCTGGTCTATGAAAAGGGACTTTACAACGTGCGAAAACAAGTTTTCAAAAAAACAGCAGTTACAGTTTAACTAAGAAAAACCCTTGTAACTTTTTTAAATATTAATATTTTTTAATCAAGTAAAGGCTTATTCTCTTCACTGTGGATCACAGTATCACAATAAAAAACATACAAGTAATGAAAAATTTTTTTAATAATTGTTTATATAAACTAATAACAAACTCCCCAAACACAGAAAAAATAACACCCGCACAAAAAAAAATTTCAAGTGCGAAGAGTGCCATATGGTGGATTCTCTTCCTTAGGGTGTATCTAAAGAGAAAAAAGTAGTCGGACCGAAAGTATGGTGCTGGCATTTTTTTACACGCCTCGTAAGGTGGTGAAGTCTGAGAAATTTATTTGCATGGGAATTTATTTACTTTTTATATCTTAAGGGGACCGTACACCACTTTTGCGTGTTTTTTCAACATTAATTTTTTTATAGTAAAATGTATCAAAACACTGGACTCTTTTCACACATATGAACACACATATGACGGGTTCCACGTCAAGTGACCCAGGTCCAAATTTTAAATGTTTAGGATCGGGTTAAAAGTTTGCACAAACAGTAGTCCTATTCGATACAATTAAAAATACCAAATATTATTTATTTATTTAAACAAATATAAAAACTGGAGGGGGTCAAAGTTTAAATTTTTGGTCTAACATGGAATATTTGAAAAATTTGTAGTTTCTTTAAAACAAAACGAAAATACATTTTCTATTTTGGGTTTTTCTGCTGTTTTTCAACACTTTCTAATGGTGTAAACAAATGTAGAGAAAAAAATTTTTTGACCTTGAAAAATTAAATTAAAAAATAAAATTTCATTTTTTCATCAAATGGACGTTTAAGTTTTTATTTTTTTAAAAAAAATTTTATCATAAAGGTGAGGTTTTTTCCTAAAAAGAATGTATAGGTCAAAACGTGGGACAAGAACTTTTAACTGGTCAAAATAAACATTTACTTCTGCAATCCACCGCCCCTGCGCGTTGTTGGGCTGTATATTGTTTATAACAATTAAAATAAATTATTTTATGCTTTATTAATTATCTGGTGGTCATATTGGATGAATTTAAATTGATTTAGATCATGTGCATTAACAGAATAAGAAAATAAACGTCCTTTTTTAAAAAAGTGTATTAATTTGTTAACTTTGATTTCAAAAAAATTATAAATAATTAAAATCCCTAAAATCGGCCTCAAAGGATGTCTTAAGAATTTATTCCCCTTTAATTTAAGACAAAGAACACTCAAATCGGTTAAAAATTGTAAGCTATAGACATTTTTTAATAGGAAATTGTAAAAAAAATTCCACTGTGGGCCGGTGCAGTGCAGATGTAAATTGCTTAATTTGACCAGTTAAAAGTTCTTGTCCCACGTTTTGACCTATACATTTTTTTAGGAAAACACCTCACCTTTATGATAAAATTTTTTTTTAAAAAAAAAAAACTGCCCATTTGATAAAAAAATGAAATTTTATTTTTTAATTTAATTTTTCAAGGTCAAACAATTTTTTTTCTCTACATTTGTTCACACTATTAG